GTTCCACTCACTTCAGTCTGGAGGAAGAGTTGGGACTTCAGCAAGTCCCAAACCAAGGCTAGCAATCTATGCAGCCTTTCTCTTTCAACATAACCTTTGCAAAGAGATTTGCGCTGACTTTTATTCAAATACATGCATTTGCCTAAAAGAATCCACCTCAAACACTACAGCTGCAGTAAATGCCAAGATTCCTTCCTTCTACAGTAATCCTAGACAGAACCAAAGAGAGATAAGAAAGTTTGCAAATCAGTGGGTTCTCCCAGTTCTCAGGCCGTGCTGCCACATGTAGGTACCCACGTGCCACCATGCTGCATCCCTCAGAAGAGGTGTCCTTGCCAAGAGCATTCCCAAGCACGGTGGTTGCCAGGGTCCCAGAGCAGACTCTCCTGTCCTGGCCAGGCTCCTGGCTGTGTCACACTCTGTGCCCAGAAGACTCAAGCTCCAAGGCTGCCTTTCAGACACCTTTCATCAGCACAAAAAGGTCCCATTAGGAGAGAAAACCCTTTGTTCTCACATTGCTTGGGCAGTGCCAAACTGGGCAGTGCAGCCAACAGACCGAGACACCAGATGAGACCCAAGAGAAACTGGGTACAGCTTAGCAGCAAGCATGTGGCTGCCTCTCCAAGTCGTGAGAAGTTAACGTGCTGGAAGCAGAGGCCACTTCCCCAGGCCAACAGACAAACTTTTTCTGCAAAGAACCCTGATGCTGAATTAATGCCAGCATCAACCAGAGGCGCTTAAACCACCCTCAGGCTTTCTGGGGAATCAGGACTTGGAATCCCATCCGTTTCTGGTGATCTGTGGAGACCCTCTTCCTTCCTCCACGATAAAGAACAGAACAAAGTGGAGCAGTTTTGCCAGGAAACACTGCTCTTGCTCAGGCTCCTTGGCCATGCTCTCACTCAGGAACACCACATCAAATCCATCTGCACTGGGGAGGGGAAGAGACAGGATGAGGTTCTTATTCAGTGTGACAGCTTTTAGAGTCCCCTTTGATCCAGTAACAAATCTGAGCAAACTTTAGAGCAATCAGGTAAATAGCATCATTATAGTTGTGGTGCTCCCCAGCCACTTCCAGCCACTGGTGCCCTGAGAAGACCCTGATCACCTTCCCATTTGTGTCATACAGGGTCCCACACTTTGCCATACACCCCAGAGCTGGATGCACCAGGCATGGCATCACAGTGCTGGCAGATGATGTGGACTGTCTCATCCTTCACCCCATAGAAGCAGTAGATCAGCTCACCTGGCCTGTTGCTGTCAAACCTTGGGAAAAGAATCTTCTTCCAAGCCATCTCCACTGCTGGAGCTGCCATCAGCCTGATGTGTGAGCACCAGTGTGCCCAGCGCATCACCAGCCTCCCTCTCCCATTGCCTGCACCCTGCACCTGTGTCAGGAAACCCACCTTGATCTTCTTGGCCCCCTTCACTTAGTCTTTGCTGTCATGAATGCAGTGGGCAGCAGTGAGGATGTGCTGCTTGGACACCAGCACACCCGTGCAGCCCATGGAGACCTTGACAGTGGCAGAGAAGGGGTAGTTCATCAGGAAGTGGTTCCCACTGATGAAAAACCACCTGTCCGTGCCATAAATCTGCTGCTTGCATCACACACACCACCTGTGCCTTCTCCTCTCCATACCACTTGCACTGGGACTCACTTCCACTGTCGTGAGGATGCGGGTGCCATTGGGGCGGGTGACACTGTGCGGGTGACACTGTCTCATAACCGTACTCCTGGAAGTCCTGAGGGGCCAAGGTGGCCTCCTGCTCAGCACGGGCATTGTTGCGGGGTGTTGTCTGCTCTGGGACAGGCTGTGACAAGAACCGCCCTTTGGCTAGTTGGAACGTGGGCTGGGAAACAAGAGTGTGAACCAGGTCACCAGCTGCAGCACTGGGAAGAAAGGAGAGCAAGAGAGGAGCAAGCACCTGGCAGCAAGTCATCACGCCAGACATACAAAGGCAAAGCAAGGAGAGCGTTAAGCCTGCATGATTGGAGAGCTGACCACCTGCTGCGGCTCAGGGCTGGGAGGATTATCGGATGCATGCTGCCTTCTGCCAGCTACTGGGTCCTGCGTGCTTAAGCTGTTACCGCAGAAAGCAGAAGGGTTGGGACCTGCCTGGAGCAGGGTGAGTAAGGAGAGATAGGAATCTCACCCGGCACCAGCTTTGATCTCCTGGAGCTCTTCTGGACGGTGAGGCCCTGCAGCACAACCGCTGCAGAAATATCACGAGCTCATGAGTTTTCTCTGTCGCGCCATAACCCCATCTGCCTCGGGGTGGATTTCCTGGATTCCAGGCCTTGTGTCTTGCGGATGGATGCATCCCACCCGGCAGCCACTTGGCTCCCCTCCACCAGCTGGTCATCTGCAGGGGGGAAGATCTAATTGTACCTGCTTGTGAGTCCTAGAGGGGAGAAGGCTGAACATTAGTTCCTCACATTGAAGTATTTGGTGTCACAGAACAGTGCAGACTAGCCAGCCTATTTTAACTCCCAAACGGATCATGGTACCAAATTTAAAATTTAATCTGCTGCTACATCTCCACATGCCAGGGCCACCCCTGTTCTGGCAGGGGAGCAGTGCAGGCTCTGCAGTGCCAGCTCTTCCTCCAACAGCTCAGCAGCACAGCCCTCCGTCTCCATCCTGCCCCCAGCCTGCGTACTCGCTCAGGCTCCTCTTGGCAGCACCCCCAGAGGCTCTTCCTTGGCAAGCAGCTGGTGTGCAGAGAGAGCTGCTCTGACACCTGCACCAAGAAAGCCCCATGTCCCCCAAGGGCAGCCTGGGTCTGCACCAGACACATGGCACTGCATGGGGTTATGAAAGGCACAGGGGACAGGGTGGAGCCAGGCAGGGAGGGAGGCTGAGAGCCTCTTGCTATCTGCACCCTCCACACCCTGGCCCACCAGCGCTGTGCCCACAGCCAGAGCACGTTGCCTTCAGCCAGTGGCCGCAGTCCGGTCTCCACTGCAATGCTGCCCCAGCTGCCTGCCCCCTCAGTACAGCTTGAGCTAAACACATCCAGAGCCAACAACCCTCCAGCTCCCCTCTAAATGCAGGGGGGTGGCGACAGGGAGATCACGCCCTCGCTGTAGCTCCCAGGGGAGCCTGGGCTGAGTGCTGCCTCCAGCGCTACAGCCAGCAAGATAGCACTGAAAACAGGAGGCATCCCTGCCTCCCGTGCTCCTGCCCACGCTTGTGCCCGGTCTGCCCAACACCCAGGCACAGGCAGGGAAGCAGCTTCAGGCTTGTCTAGTTCCCTCCAGGACTCTGCCAGCCTCTCTGCTGGGGCTGGAGCCACCCCGGAGATGCCCACGGCCAGGCAGCAGGCAGGAACGCAGCATGTGCTGCAAATCTGGGTGGAAACTCCCCGGCTGATGGGGCAAACCACAGGCAGCTGTGTGCAGGGCTGGGGACCAAGCCTCTCAGCAGCAAAGCCAGGTTCTGCTTTTTGCTGCGTTTTCTCAAACCAGGAAATGGCCCTTTCCAGACTGGTATGGGAGTAAAAAGCCCACCCTGCAGCCCCCAACAACTGACAGCCTTCACCCAGGAATATTCTTCCCTCCCAGCCCCTCTCTGCACAATTAAGCCCTGGGTTGCTATCAGAGCATCTCAGCGGGCCACACACAGCAGTTAGAGCAGTGGGAGCAGCACAGGCAGCTCCTTTGTGCCAACAACATGCTGGGGTTCTGGCTGGGTGTTATTTACCCACCAATTCTTGCACGAAGACGTGCAGCAGTGCCAGCAGAGCCTGGGAAAAGCAGAGACACTGCCTGGTGGAGGATGCGGTGCCATCCCTGGCAGCTCTGCTAGCCTGGATGGAGCAGAAGGAGGCAGTGGATAGATAGAGGCAGGATCCCCCCAGAGTGGATGCCAAGAACTGGCGTGGCCTCTCCAGGCAGGCAGAGAAGGGCAGGGCATCCAGCATGGGGCTCAGGGGTGGACAGGGCTGCTGCACTCCTGCCAGCACCTGTGCCATGACAAGATGGCGCTGACCCACCCCCCCTGCACTGGCACGGACTGATGGCTGCCAGACAGTTGCTTACCTGCCAGGCTGGGAGCTGCCCAGGGCTTCCATCACCCCACTCCATGTCCAAAGCTCTGCCAGTCCCAATGGGTGCCCAGGATGGGACACCAGTGCTCAGTGGGATGGCCTGGAGCCAGGCACAGGCATGTCTGTGGGCACAAACAGACCCACACATGGCCATGGACGTGCACACGTGCATGGGGACACAGGCACAAAGGCACAGGGGTCTGCAGCAGTGCTGAGCTAGAGGTGAGGGCTGCAGCCCTATCACAGGCCCTAGTGGTTTGGGCAACAGCACCTGAACCCGAGTGCTGGGGGGACTGCGGGCTCAGGGCTCAGCAGGGCCCCCATGTGCTGCCCCCAGCCAGGGTGGTGGGACCCAGCATGGCACACCAAGGAGAGCTGGAAGCACCTACAAGGAGTCAGTGCCAGGAGTCAGCTGTGTTTTTGGGCTGGAGCCTGAGGTTCTGGCAGGGCACAGCAGCTGGGGGCAGGCGGTGCCCAGTGTGGGGCCAGAGCAGGCGCTGAAGCCCTTTCACTCCAGGCACAGCCCTGGGGCAGGGCTCGCGGTGCCAGCCCAGGGGTCAAGCAGAGCTGATGGTGTGGATCCCTTGCCACTGACCGTGCAGTGACCCTGTTCCACTGCCAGTAAACAGGGAGATGCCAAACCCATGCAAGATCCATCTGCCCTAAATTAGTTTATTTTGCAGAATAATCTGACTGGTCTGATTTAGACCAGACCAGAATCTAGGAAATCACCATTCTCACATGGATGCAGCCCAGCTCCTGGCTACACTTCCTCTGCAGGCCGTTGCTGGAGCCTCCAGGAGATACTTCCAAGGTCTTCACTGCAGCTGCTGCCCTGGGACCCGGTGACACACCCCCAGGCAGCACAGGGACTGCAGGATGAGGCCACGGCAGGCTGGCATCCTGCCCACAGGTACCAGCAATGCTGGGGCAAGCTGGCCTGGAGCACTGCACCCCAAGGGACAGTGCAAGGGCCAGGCGGCAGGTTTTGGGTCGGTTTTGGGCAGGGCACTCACTCTGCAGAGCCAGCTGTGGCCAAGCTCTGCTCTGCACTGGCACCAGCCTGGCACACGGCCCAGTAGCACATGGGGTCCTGCCCAGGGGTCAGTGACCACAGAGCATGAACACAAGATGCAACAGAAGCAACAGATCCAAGCACTTAAACATCATTTACTTTAATAAGTATAAAAATTGACATTAAAATTAACAATTGTACAAAAGCATACAATGTTGGACAGCAGTACAGCTATACTGTGGACATCTTCACAGACACCTGAGCTAGCTGTTCACACCAAGCAGCATGACCAGGGCAGCACAGGGCTCAGTGTGGGATGCAAATCCACAAGCTTCGGCCAGCTGAGCCCTGTGCTGCCAGGGAATACCGAATTGTTGGCAGTACCAGAATGAGCCATACCAAGCCTCTTTGCACGGCTCCAGCCATGGTTGTCATTTAAACACCCAGCACTTGGAAAGCACAGAGAGGAGGTGGTGACCACAGCCGCATGGACAGATGGAACAAATACAGCTGCACCATCACGTGGGGCCTCCCGTGTGCAGGGAAAGCAGCATTTCTGATAGCAGCTTCCACAGCAGCAGGGCAATGACAGTGTCCTGCCCCTTGGCGGGGTTGGGGGAACGGCAGAGACCAGCCCCCAGCCACCAGCACTCCCACCTGGCCTGGGGACTCTGTGAACTCTGTTCTGCAAGGGGACAGGGCAGCCCACTCCGCGGTCCTGACTCTGGGACTCATTCCCCTCAGGAGATGGGATGAATGTATGATGTGGATCACGATCTGGTCCTCAAGTAGGAATACTGACAGAGGTCCACGGAGTGCCGGTGCCTGATCCCTCAGACTGCAGCAGCCTCAGAGCTGAGGTCCAGTTCAGGGTGGCACAGAGGCTTTTCTACTGTGGCACAGGGTTCCTCTGCATTTTTCCCTTCCACGCTGTTCCGAATCCCATAGCCAAAGTAAATCATAAAACCTACAGGACAGTTTCCACAATGAAGTGTGCAGCAGCAGGCTGCCAGTGTAACAGACCTGCAGGGGACACCCTGCAGACACCACGCTCCCTTCCGCAGGACACCTACCCATAACCATCCAGATGGCAAACCACCCCCAGGTGCTGGCACTCAGCTGTACCATCAGCAGGATGTTAATGAACAGGCTGAAGATCGGCAGAAATGGGAGGAAAGGTACCTGTAAGGGACAAGAGACACCATGTCAGCTGTGCCTTGAGGGGTTCACCCAGGCTTGAGGATGCTCCTGGCCACAGAGGGATCCTATCTCTGGCACAGCCCAGAGAGCACCCAGGCACTGCCATGCTGGGGACCACACCTCAGAGAGCTACATCACAGAGGCCTGCACTTTCCTGGGTGGTGACTGCCCAGCACTGAGCCCTGGCAGACCCTGCAATGGCCCAGACCCTGCCAGGGGTCCATGGGGGTGCAGATGCCAAGCTGCTGTGGGCTGCACTCACTTTGAAGTTCAATCGCACGTTGCTCTGTGGCTGCCTCCAAATGATGATGGTGGAAATGAGCAGAACTACGAGGAGCAGCACCAGGAGCATGATCCAGATGACACTGGCATCCTTCAGCGCGGTCATCTCAAGGGTCAGGACCACACAGATAACTGTGATCAGTGTGGCTGCAAGAGAGGGGGCAGTTGAGGGGCTGCATGGCACATGGCCTCCCTGGGACCCCAAGCCTCACCAATGGCTGGGCTGAGGCACCAACTCCTCCCGGTCAGGTATGGGTCCAGCATGTGCTGTCTCCAACACCCACACCAAAGCCTTAGGAAAGCACTTTTCCAGGCGGAATTTTCCAGCCTGGCAAGCTGATGGGAGCCTGCACTCAGCTGGGCTCAAACCCAGCTCTGATGCTTACCCAGACCTGGCCAAGCCACCCCATTCTGGCCACGCAATGAAGCCACTGATGAACAGATCAAACCTCACTGGGTAAGCCTGAGCCCTCTCAGGGGGCTAGGGACCACCTTGCTGAGTGGCCAGCCTGGGCCAGGCTCGTCACAGGAAGCTCCCATGACCACCCACACATGCTTGCCTTAGTGCCCACATCCTCCATCAGCCCCCGTGTGCCCCAAACCCCAGCCATGCCTGGTGCCTGGCACACTGCTCAGGGCAGAGCAGGCCAGTACAGGCCACTGGCACTGCCAAAAGCAGGTGACAGCCTGTGCTGCCCGGATCCTCTCCTCTGCCCGGCGTGCCCACCATCCCTTCCCAGCTCTGCCAAGACACACCAAGATGCTCTGGCCCCTGGCAGGAGGGGACATCAGCCACCAGCTCCTGCTCACTCACCAATGACTGAGACACAGATGTAGACGATGCGCCCTGAGAGTGCAGTGGGGGTGTCCGTGGGTGGGTTGAAGAGCATCTGCAGGGCACTGGTAGCAGTGATGGTTGGGTTCGTGATCACCCTCTCCTCCTCGTTTCCATTCAGCTCCAGCATTTCCATGGCCTTTGGGGAGTTCAGCTGCCCAGGCTGGTACCTGAGCAGATGGGACAAGCTGCAGCGGAGCCCGAGGAACTTCCCAGCCCAGGGGGATAGTTGGCGGCACCCTCATACCCCTCCCACTCCTCCAGCCCCATGTGCTGCTCTGGCAGCAGCCCCACAACAGCCACCCCACAGATGTGCCCAGAGACACCACGCAGGCTCTTGTGAGCAGCCTCCATCTCAGAGGCTTGATGCTTCCCCAGGCTGCATCCCCCCAGGAAAAAACTTTGACCATGAGCCCCAGGCTTGACACAAGCCACATCTGCCCTGGGCATCGCTACACAAGAAGCACCCACCGGAGGATGAGCACACACACCGCCACCAGGGAGTAAGCCAGCAGTGTGCCGATCGACATGAGGTCCACCAGGTCCTTCAGGTCAAACAGGAAAGCCATCACCGCTGCAATGAGGACATGAAGCATGAGCACAGCTCTGGATCATCGTGGGGCTGAGTGTGAGGCAGCAGCTGGGAGCCTTACCCGCAAGGAACCCTGAGACGATGGTGGCTGATAGAGGGGTCTTGGTGCGGTTGTTGATGCTGGAGAGGAACTTGAAGAGCAGTCCATCCTCTGCCATGGCATAGATCACACGGGGCATGGGGAACATGGACCCCAACAAGCTGCATGGGGAGAGGTGGCTCAGGGAAGCTGTTGACACCCCCCACCCAGACAGGGAGGGGACCAGCTCAGTGCTGGGAGCAGGACACCAGACGGATGGGGCAAACCCCCAGCCCAGCTGGGATGCATGCTGCTGCTCCCCATGCTGTGCCAGGCCATGCCAGGGATGGAGCCAGTCCTACCTGGTGGAGAGGGCACACAGCGAGCCGACGGCAACAGCATAGCGGGCAGGCTCCCAGCCCACTGCTTTGAAAGCCTCAGGCAGAGGGCTTTCCTTGTTCAGGAGGAAGTAGGGCACCATGAGAGTCAGGGCCGCAGAGACCCCAAAATAAGCCACGAAGCAGATGAGGAGGGACACAATGATGCCAATTGGGATTGAGCGCTGTGGGTTCCTGGCTTCCTCCCCTGTGCAGAGATAAGAGGTAGTGTCCATCCCCACTCTGCGTCTATGCCCGCACCACGGGGACAAGTTACAGCAGGGACATTCTGTGGCAGCGTGGGGCTGGGCAGCAGCAGGCAGGGGCTGTTAGAGAGGAGGGGTCCCTTGCCATGCTGCTGTGCTGGCAGAGGCTTTGGCACTGCAGAGAGCAGAGGTGTGCGGCTGCAGTCCTGGCTTCCAGGCACGGGGCTGCCCGGCAGCTGGGCTTGTAGACCCCACAGCCATGCCAGCCCTCTGCCCCCACCAGCAGCTCCCACTCCCCAGATCTCGCTGAATGCACATCATCCGTGTGCATGGGCACAGCGATGCAGCCACCATGCCCTCTGCCACCCAGCCTTTGCAAAGGTGTGCTCCCCCGTTGCACCACACTCCCTGGCAAGGGGCTCGGCAGCCAGTGTAGGAGGGAAGGAGGCAGCTGCTGGGCAGCCCCTGAGGGCCAGGAGCCACAGGCAGGGAGGTCAGGCAGAACAGCCTGTACCAGCCACCCGCTAAGTAGATTCCTAGAGGAATGAGAGGAAATTAAGAGGGCTCCCTGCGCTCCAGAGAGCAGCGGTTCTGCATAAACTCAATCATTTAGAAAAACGTTGCTTGAGGCTGGATAATAACCAGGAGGCACTAGCAATTCCCAGCACTGTCACAGCTTCAACTCAGCAGCAGAAATGCTTCCCGCTGCCCCAGGAGCTGCCTGCACAGGCAGAGTGCAGCCCCACTCCCACCACGAGGTGCGGGGACCCCTTATTCCTGGGGCAGGGCAGACTGTGAGCCCTTTAGTACTGGTCTAGCTGGGGACAGAGCTACTGCAGGGAAACCTCCCAGGAGCGGTGGGATGGGCTGTTTCCCACGCCATGGAGCATCCTCCCCGGCGGGTCCCACCCGGCTGGGCTGGGGAAGTACCCACACCACCCTCACCCAGGGTGGTACCTGTGGTGGCAATACAGTCAAAGCCCACAAAGGCATAGAAACAGGTGGCAGCGCCCGTCAGGATCCCTTCCAGTCCAAAGGGGACAAACCCGCCAGAGCCAAAGTCTTTTTTCCTGGAAAGGAGGGAGGAGAGCAGCTGCCACGGGGTGCATGGACAGCAGGGCTGGTGCCAGCCCTGTGCTGGATCCTGGCCTGGCACGGTTGCTCTCCTTACTCGACGTCATTCAGCGGGTCCAGGTACGAGAGGTTGCTGTAGTCCTCTTCCGAGAGCTGCCAGTTCTTGATGTCTCCCTTCACGAAGCCGGCGATGATGACAAAGCCGAGCACCACCAGGTTCACCGCCGTGAAGATTTTGTTCACAAGGGCAGATTCACTGACACCGAAGGCCAGTAGCACTACAGGGACGGGAGGAGTGAGTGGGGACCTGCTGAGCTCCCACACCACCACCCGCTGTGCCACAGAGCTGCTCCTACGCACTCACCAGTGAGCAGCCCGATCAGGATCACAGCAAAGAAGTCCGGGTGCTTGGCCAGCACCCCCGGCAGGTTCAGTGAGGTCTTGTCCATGAAGAAGGTGGAGATGTGGTTGCCAATGATGTTGTCGAATGCTGCGCTCCAGGCTCGAGCCACGCTGGCCGTGCCTGGTTGATGGCAAATCTGAGCATCAGTCCAAGACCAGGGCAGAGCAGCACCAGCCATCCCCACTCCAGTACCCACCTCCCTGCTGATGCCACCCCACACCCTGCTCCTGCAGCACCACATACTGCCCTCATAAACCACCCCTACTGCTACTGCAGTGCTGAAAGGAGCCCAGGCACACATGCCAGCACCCTGCCAGGCCCCGTACCTATCACATAAGAGAGAATGAGGTTCCAGCCAGTTGTGAAAGCCCAGATTTCACCAACAGTGACGTAGCTGTAGAGGTAGGCGGAGCCAGTCTTGGGGACGCGGGCCCCAAACTCTGCATAGCAGAGTCCAGCCAGTACCGATGAGAAAGCAGCTACCAGGAAGCAGAGGACGATGGAAGGACCAGCCATCTCCTTGGCCACCTCCCCTGCCAGCACGTACACACCAGCCCCCAGCGTGCTGCCCACCCCCAGGGCTATGAGGTCCAGAGTGGAGAGGCAGCGAGCAAAACGTGTGTCCTCAGAGCTCAAATCCACCACGCGCCGGCGAATCAGCTTCTTCCCAAAGCTGGCCATTTTTCCCCCAAACATCTTGTCCTCTTGTGGGTGGTGCTCAGTTACTCAAAACCCCTGCAAGAGAAGGGACCACAGGAGCGTGAAGCTCAATGTCCTGCAGGCAGCAGGACCCACACTGCATGCAGCAGGGCAGGCAGTGATGCCCACAGGAGCTGTGCCTGCTCCCAGCCACCCCATCAGCACCAAAACCCCACCACACTGATGGGGCAGAGACCATGGTGGCTCCCTCCAAGGCACCATGGGGCTGCACGTACCCCACCTGCACAGCCCCTACGCCCGGAGAGAGCCAGGGGTGAATCCAGAGAGTCTGTGGTGGGAGATCATTGCACAAGCTCTGTGTGGTCCCCACCACGGGGCCCCTGGGCACGTCCCAGAGCTTCCCCACTGTCTCCCAGCAACTCCCCACTGATTTGGCAGCCTGGAGATCCCTCGGCCCAAACTTGACTGCTGGCGCATCCCTCCGGCCTGGTGTGTGGGTGTGTGCAGGGCGATGGCAGGGAGACAAAGCATTCCTCCAGTGAGAGGATTTGGCAGGCTAGGCTGACTCACTGGGACACAGCCATTTCTCCTTTGCTCCTAGCATCTGCACTTAAACCCTCGGTAGGGATGTGTGGCCAGACACAGAGCGCAGGCCCCAGCACACATCCCTCATGTGCTGACGGCACTTGCCAAGCAGCCCACGGGCTCCACAGGCTGCAATTGCCCTAAACACGTGACACTCCCACTCCCCTTGCTCACAGCAGCCACCCATCCCCAAAAACCTCTGGGAGACAAACACCCTGTGGAGCAGGCAGCCGGCACAGGGTGAGAGGAGCCACAGGGAAAGAAGGTCCTCATGCCCATGGCTAGTGGCTGGCACCCTGTGACCAGTACCTTCCCCCCACCAGCTTCTCCCTTCATTGGGAACCGAAACACGCTCCAGCCTGGCACCCGGGGCAGCACCAATGCCACACTGTATGGATCAGCATAAGTATACATGAGGATAACTTTGTGACCCTTTTCCACTGAGGGGGATTACCAGGGTTGCAGTGGCAGCCACCAGCTTGGCTGCTTTCCCCATAACCAGCAAACCAGCCCATTACTGGAGAATCCTCCCCCTGAGCTGGCATGTGCCACATCTAGCCTCGGCCCAAGGAGCCATCCCAGCCCAGGGCTGCCTCTGGGCCAGGTTTCAAGGGAACAACAAGTGTCCCAGCACTGGCACGCTCCCCAGCCACTGTCCAGACAGCTTTAGCTGCCTTCCCAGTGCTGCTTGATTGCTCCAATAATTTCTGATGCCCAACACCAGCTCAGGAAACTGCTCTGAGCTGGCAGAAGAAACATGCTCATTGCCAGAGAAGCACAAAAAAGAAAGCCCAAGTGCACAGAGCAGGAACATGTGGGACAGCCGCCCCCTCTGCATGCCCATGGGCCCTGCTGTGCCCAGTGAAGGGACCCATGTTCAGCACCCAGACCCTCACCAGCCCCTAGCAGAGCCAGCCTAGGATCGGCTGGCGGATGGGCTGGCTCCGGGGAGGTTCATCCCACGGCCAGAGAGGTGTCGGAGAGGTGTCTTGCTGAATGCCACGCTGTGACGCTGGCGCCTGAGATGGTGAGCACCCAGCAAGCAACGGGCAGGCAAGGGAAAGGGAGGGAGAGAGGAGGGAGAGAGAAAAAAGAAAGAGGGGGAGAGAGAAAGAAGAAAGAGGGGGAGAGAGAAAGAAGAAAGAGGGGGAGAGAGAAAGAAGAAAGAGGGGGAGAGAGAAAGAAGAAAGAGGGGGAGAGAGAAAGAAGAAAGAGGGGGAGAGAGAAAGAAGAAAGAGGGGGAGAGAGAAAGAAGAAAGAGGGGGAGAGAGAAAGAAGAAAGAGGGGGAGAGAGAAAGAAGAAAGAGGGGGAGAGAGAAAGAAGAAAGAGGGGGAGAGAGAAAGAAGAAAGAGGGGGAGAGAGAAAGAAGAAAGAGGGGGAGAGAGAAAGAAGAAAGAGGGGGAGAGAGAAAGAAGAAAGAGGGGGAGAGAGAAAGAAGAAAGAGGGGGAGAGAGAAAGAAGAAAGAGGGGGAGAGAGAAAGAAGAAAGAGGGGGAGAGAGAAAGAAGAAAGAGGGGGAGAGAGAAAGAAGAAAGAGGGGGAGAGAGAAAGAAGAAAGAGGGGGAGAGAGAAAGAAGAAAGAGGGGGAGAGAGAAAGAAGAAAGAGGGGGAGAGAGAAAGAAGAAAGAGGGGGAGAGAGAAAGAAGAAAGAGGGGGAGAGAGAAAGAAGAAAGAGGGGGAGAGAGAAAGAAGAAAGAGGGGGAGAGAGAAAGAAGAAAGAGGGGGAGAGAGAAAGAAGAAAGAGGGGGAGAGAGAAAGAAGAAAGAGGGGGAGAGAGAAAGAAGAAAGAGGGGGAGAGAGAAAGAAGAAAGAGGGGGAGAGAGAAAGAAGAAAGAGGGGGAGAGAGAAAGAAGAAAGAGGGGGAGAGAGAAAGAAGAAAGAGGGGGAGAGAGAAAGAAGAAAGAGGGGGAGAGAGAAAGAAGAAAGAGGGGGAGAGAGAAAGAAGAAAGAGGGGGAGAGAGAAAGAAGAAAGAGGGGGAGAGAGAAAGAAGAAAGAGGGGGAGAGAGAAAGAAGAAAGAGGGGGAGAGAGAAAGAAGAAAGAGGGGGAGAGAGAAAGAAGAAAGAGGGGGAGAGAGAAAGAAGAAAGAGGGGGAGAGAGAAAGAAGAAAGAGGGGGAGAGAGAAAGAAGAAAGAGGGGGAGAGAG